CGCTGACTACAGTAAGCCCGAGGCAAAGTTGCTCTGCCCCAGGCTTCCTGGATTCAGCTGCTGATCAGTTTCAGCAGCAGCTGACTTGGGGACGCCTGGGTTTCTTAAGTTGAATCTGTATGTAAGTCAGAACTGGCGTCCAGATTCAGCCGCGGTTGAAACTGATCAGTTTCAGCAACGGCTGACGCCAGTTCCGACTTACATACAGATTCAACTTAAGAACAAACCTACAGTCCCTATCTTGTACATAACCTGGGGACTGCCTGTAATATCTTTAATACCTGGTTTAATCTGTGCACTCTGTCCATCTTCTGTTAATAGTTCAGACTTGTCAGTCTGATCAATCACGTCCACTAAGGTAAGTACCTTTCTGTCACTTCAGCGCCAGATGCTTAGTAGTTACACAGAAGACTTTAATTTCTAGCTCTGTGACCTTGGCTTGAGAATGAAGTTTTGAATGCACACTCTGATATAACAATACCAGAAAGTGGGGCTGAGAATGTATTTTGCTCTACTTTTACCATCGGGTTGACTTCTGAAGACTCAGATGCCAAGGAGTAATAATCAGTCTCAAGTATTAGAAATAAGAGGGCTTTGTGGAATTTAGTTTATGCCCCTTACAGCTGTTACATTTCAGTATCTGTTGTAAAGGTTTATCATAAAAAGTTTCTTCTAGTGGTGACAATGCATTAGATATCTTCCCAAATTCATTCCATTGATTCATCTCAGAAACGAGATCGTAAATTCCATTAATATACTTTGTTAACTTTTTAAATATTATTGTAGTGCCTAGAAGATCTAGTGGAGAGCAGAACTGCATTATGCTAGACCAGTGTTTCTCAAAGTGATTCGCAAAACCACTTTGAGAAGCCTGCTAACTGGCCTTGCCAGTTGTTTGTTTACTGGCACTGCAGCTACGGAGCCTTGCGGCTCCTATTGGCTTCTTTTTGCTGTTTGCAGCCAAGGGGACCTGGCCTATGCTGCTTCCTGTGCTCCCTGTGGCTGGCAATGGTGAAACGTAGCAAATAAGAGTCATGAGGTTCAGTGATTGTGGTGCTGGTAACTAAACAAACCAGCACAGCCTATTAACAGGTTTTTCAAAGTTGGTTTCGTGGACCAATTTGAGAAACACTGTGCTAGGCAGAGTTTACAATCTAAATGGACAAGACTGGGAGGGAGAAAAGAATGATTATGATTCCCATTTAAGGTATGAAGAGATTGAGTAATTTACCTAAACTTTCTTACAGAAAGTATCTGGTGGGGTTTGGGAATCAAACTTAGATCTCCTCAGTCCCTTTTCCTGGTTTTTGCCACAAGATCACGTTCCATATTGGGTAAGAAAGAAGTGAAACTAGGCAACACACAAATGACATTGCATCTTTCAGGTTTTTAATCTTATTATGAACAAAACCTGATATAACCAGAAGAAAGAGATGAGTTATGATGCCCAGGAAGCTTCACACATCCTGAGTAGAAAACTGTTCTGTTTTGATGGAAACAAAACACAGTAAGAAATAATACAGGTTTGTGTGATGTTTGTCTTACCATTAAAAATAGTTCAGTTTAGTCTTTTCAGAACACCACAGAAGGGGCTGTTTGCTGATTATGCACCCCTCTTCTTTAATGCTATTTTTTCGAAAGGAAATATAGCTGCAGAGAACCGCTATATACATATCTCTGTGCTTTATACACCTGTCACTGATTTTGAAAGCTTCTTACTAAGAATAATGCTATACTTGATGCTGTAACAACTGTGTTATTTCAATATGCTGTCATGATATTAATTGTACAGAATAAATGTATTGGAACACTTTCTGGCCTATAATTTTCCTTATTGATTGCTTCAGTGAGTATTTTCCCAGTTCTGCTGTTCTCGTTGCTTCATGCTGCCACATATACAAAGAAGGTCCTCGATGTAAGTATGGTGCTATACATTGCTCAGTACTATTTGATATCAATTATCCTCTCTTTATGGCTAAATGGGAGACTTGTCTTTGAAATGCTTTTATGTTCCAATGTGAGGTCACACACAAATGATGAAATTGAAAACCACTCAATTTAATTTTTGCATCTACTAAATATTTTAGAAAGTTTGTATGTTTGTTTAAGAACTCCTCCTTAATGGTAAGAGTAGGGCCACCGAATTTGGTATACAGCTTCCTCTTATCGTAACTTAAAACAAGATTAAGAGGTTTGGTTGTGCCAGGAAAATGGGATTGCTTCTCATAAAACTAAGCAGAAAAGAGACAATCACCAAATCAAGTACAGTCCTCCAAACTGACATAACTCAGCAAATGTTGAAAGAGACTGAACCAAAGGTGAAAGTAAGCTGGTGTGCCTAGATGCACCACTCCAGTAAGAAGGAACCGGCCAGTTAGGGTGCTTAGCTGAAGGAGAGAGCGCATTGCCAGCCCAGCTCTTGGGGCTCTCCAGGCAGGTGAAAGTGGCTGACTTGTTACTCTCCCTCTCCCCCGCATTTGTATGGGAACATTGCTGGTTGTTCCCCTTTGTCACTGTCAGGGAATGAGGGAAAAGTGCACAGTTTGCTGCATTCCTCTCCCTCTGGGAAGGGCAGGGGGCAGATGAGCTGTGCACTTTGCTCAAGCAGCTTCAGCCTCCCTGCTCTCCCCTTACACGTTCCTACACACACATACCAACCCCTTTCCCTGACTCTCTCCTCACCCCATTCCAGACTTCTGCACCCCCACATATCTCCTGCCCTGAACCCCCCACATCCCTAAGCCCCTGTCCAGAGCTCCCCCCCCCCCCCAACATTCCCCACCTCCTTACCTTGAGCCCTGTGCACTTCACCCCACATTTAAATTTCTTACAGGTTCTGTTGTATCACAACTCCTCCAACTTTCTGCCTGAGGGGCTCCTCCCCGGGTAGGTACTTCATTCTAGTGAACAGAATAAGGCTATTGGCCATCCCTGAGGTAGCTGAAACTAACGTGAGAAAAGATAAAGCTGGATTTTTACTTCCCCAAAATTACACCTACCTGTGCCTTGTGGAGAATGCTGAAAAGTAGAAGATACTTATGTCTTCCTCAGAGGGTTTTAGGATTATTTGGAAAATATGTAAATGTGGGATATTTTTCTGCAATGCTCTCTAAATTCTTTATTTGAAGTATTTTTAGAGGATTCTAGGATATTACTAGTTTTCAGGTAATTAGATAGGATCTCAAAAGTTGCTGAAATTAAGTATTGCTGGTAGCCATTAAGATGTGATTTAAAACTAGAGAAAGATTGTCCAGTTTGGTGCTAATTGACTATTTTTTCCTTTCCTAAAGGCAAGAGGTTCGAATAGTCTACTCTTCCTGAGAAGTCTTCTAGAAAAATTAAATGCTAATCAACAGAATATTCTAAAATTCATTGCTTGCAATGAAATTTTCCTGATGCCAGCTACAGTTTTTATGCTTCTTAGGTAAGAATTACAGAAAATATTTTCTAATATATTGACTTCTTTACTTGAACATTTCCTATCCAAGGCCTCAATCTTGCAGTGAGTTCTACCTTAGGATGTTAAATTGCGGTTATCTGCCTAATCGTGTAGTCAATAAAATTTGTATTGACTATGCGATTAGTCAATAAGGGCAGCTCTACAGAGCCGCAGCAGGGGTAGTTCCAGGAGCTGGCTTGAGCCAGGACTGAGGAGCTCTGCATTTTAAATGTGGTAAGAACTGCTGGGCTCTTACTACATTTAAAATGCAGAGGCACAGCGTCCCAGATCAGTGCAAGATGGAACTGTTCGGTCCTGGCTCACGCTGAGCCTTGGCCTGCTGCAGACAGAGTCAGTGGGAGGGGGTGGGTGGAAACAGCACTACAGAGTGCTAGGGAGAACTGGCTTCTATTCCCTGCCTTTGCTACCTCTCAGAGAGGCAGCAAGGGTGGGGAGAATGAGTAATCAATACTCCACTCGACTACCTGATCAGCTTATGCTTATTGGGTAGTTGACTACTCGCTAACATCCCCTACCTAGGTACAGATGTGGAGCCTGTGTAGAATGCATTGCAGGATCTATCCCTTATCTTTTTTGAGACAAATATATTTAATTTCTTCTAGATTAAAATCTGACCAAGTTAGATTTCTCAGTTTCATACATCTGCAAAATGGAATTGAATTTTTGCTGCCTTATCAGTGAGCATAGAAATAAACTTTAAATGCATGGTGTATATATGTATTTGTGTGTGTTGTTTGGGTACCAGAACCAGATTTGATCCTAGACTAATTTATTAGGTAAAGTTGATGAACTTTGGTCGGTGTAATTGAACACATAGAAGTGGTAAGGGAGTAGGAACGTAAGCTAATAGTCAACTATCTGATAAGCAAATGTTTATCGCATAGTCGACTTGACAAGTCACTCCCTCTCCCCGCCCCACTTGATGCCTCTCTCAGAGAGAGGTAGCAAGGGGGGGTGGAGCAGGATCTGATGCTGGGAGGAGAAGGCGCAGGGGCACAGTGGGGAACTGGTGGTGCTGCCACCTTTGAAATGTATTTCAAAAGCAAAAGTTCTGCAAGGAGCCTGGAACAATCTGGAGACTCGAACAGTCCCATGCTGGCCCTGTGCTCCTGGTAGCGCTTTGCTTTAGAAATGTACAAGAGCCCTCCTGCCTTTGAAATGTAGCAAGAGCTGGCAGGGCACTTCCTACATTTCAAAGGCGGAGGCTCCCTTATTGACTAATCACATAGTTGATACAAATTACATAGACTATTTGATTAGTTGATTGATCTAAATTTAACATCCTTGTAAGGGAGCTAGGATTTTAGCTTTTAAAACGAACAAATAAATGGTGCTTTCAATTTTAAATAGAGTGCTCAGACATCTTAGAAAGCACCTCACAGTGTTAGAAAACGTGTGACCAGAAGCAGTTGTGGTCCTAGCTTTAAAGAACTTATAATCAAAGGACTTGATCCTTCAGTTCTCTCAATGTGGTCCTGATTCTTCAGTGATCACCCTGCATCGCTGTAGAGTCCCATTGACTTAGAATAGTGGCTACAAGCTTTTCCATTACAGTAGACTTCAGTTGGGGCTCCTTGCAGGCATAGAGGATCTGTCTGCCCACAGGTCATTGTCTCTTAATCTATTTTTGTCAGCAGGGACTATTCTTTATTCTTTGTTGGACAGTTTCTTAACACAGTGGGGGTATGTCTAGACTGCACCCCTCTGCCAGCAGAGGGATGCAGATTAGGCTGGGCGAAATTGCTAATGAAGCGGGGATTTAAATATCCCGCACTTCATTAGCATAAAAATGGCAGCCTCTTTTTTTCCCCGGCACAGAGCTTTGTCAGAGAAAAGTGGCAGTCTAGAGGCTGATCTATCGTTAAGGAGAGTCTTTTCCGATAGATCCCTTATGCCTCGTAAAACAAGGTATACAGGATCTATTGGAAAAGGCTTTCTTTAGCGATAGATCAGCCTCTAGACTGCCACTTTTCTCTGACAAAGCTCTGTGCCGGGGAAAAAAAGAGGCTGCCATTTTTATGCTAATGAAGTGCGGGATATTTAAATCCCCACTTCATTAGCAATTTAGCCCAGCCTAATCTGCATCCCTCTGCCAGCAGAGGGGTGCAGTCTAGACATACCCTGGGTGTCCTATTTGAGTGTGGCTTCAAGGTACTACCATATTACTGTTGGTAATCTGTGTTTTTGCTTTGTCATGCTTAAATCTGTGGTGTTAACTTATACAAAGCCATTTATTTTAATAGGGATGTTATTGGTGATAAACTAGGATACACTGAGTGTATAGCATGTGGGTACACAGTTTTGAGCAATGGATTGGACAAGTGACTAAATGAAGAATTTACTGTACTCTTAAGTCAATAAATGAGTTATCTGCCTTGTATCTTGAAACAAATGTAGATGCACTTCCATCATGTAAATCTTTGATTTTTTTTAAAACAAAACTAAAAATCAAGACCAGTGATCCCCTGTTGTGTAAACACTCCATACAGTTTCATGATCTTTACAAGTTTGATTTTGAAATATTTATAGGAGTGTATAGCTAAGCTGGTAGAAGTTAAAGGCTAGCATTTCAGCATCCATTTTATGTCTCTCCTATTTTATTATCTTTGAGCAAAATAGACTCTCTTCCGAGCCAGAGTGTACATTTTTGTTTGTTTTGGAAGCATGCTTAGCTTTGTTGAATTGTGACTAAATTTCACAAATATATCAAATCAAGGGTCCTCTCTCAGCCTGCACATAGTAAATGCATTTTCCATTCATTGCCTTGTTCCAACAGAAAGAGTGAAGATCTTCATGGGTATATGAGGATTTCTTCCAACCCATTCTTAATGTAGCCATAACTTAGATTTTTGTTGATCCTCTGGTTACATTAACGAGCCAGTTTTAGGAATTATTTCTTTAAATATGGGATTTAATTGTTTACAAATGGCATTTTGGACTTTCTGAGATTGGCCTCTGAAGAATTGTATCAAGCAAAGCTTATCCTCAGGGTAGCATGTTAAGGACACTTACGAAGTCAAATAAGAACTTGTGCTTACCTTTAGTGTTGCAAATTATCTTAACAGATACTTTTTCATTATATATTCCTTTATGCTTTGTGAACAAAAGATGACATATTAAAGAACTCTATTCTATAAAATATACAGAAAATATCCTATGTTGTTTAAACGTAACTACCTCTGAAGATTGCTGCTACTCAGAATTTTATGCTGTAGACATAGAAAGTTAGACTTAAATTCAGGTGGAGAATGTAACTTTTGCTGGAGATGATATGTCTTAGGTAGGCTCACGTTCTATACCAAGATCAGCTTCTTTAAATTATTAAGCAAAAGGGGAAGGAATATGTCTAATGTAGCTTTTTTGGAGATTGGGCAGAGATGAGCACTTGCTGTCTTTACTTACAGCCATACAACATAGTTGAAACTGATGGGAAATCAGATGTTGAAATTATTTGAAAAATCAGGTGAGATCTGTTCAGAATAATTTAAAAATATCTCATGACCTTTTGGACCATTTAAAATCAGTATAAAACACTTCCCCTTTCCCCTTTTTTTTAAATGCAGGATTTTCCCTCTAGTGTAGTTCAATTTATTTTATCCTTCAAATTTCTATAGTGTGTGGAATAAAGATGCCTCCTTTCATATGTTCTTGTCAAATTGTCGTGTAGACATTTGGTCTTGGACACTTACACAGCAATTTTACAACCTGAGTCTTGTGAGCCCAAGTCTGTTGATGTGGGCCAGCTGCTGGTGTTTTATTGCACTGTAGATACATAGCATGAAGTACTATTGCAAAGAATTGAGGCGTGAACAAGTTGATGCCAAGTTTGTAAAGTGTAATAAACTTGTGTTGCCCCAGAATAACCATTGCCAAACACCACTAAGCATATGTAGTATCTTGTATATAGCATTGAGTTTTAAACCTTAAAATGCATTTTGACAGTATGTAGGGGTGTTGTGAAGAAACTCCCATAAAATGCCACGCTTAATGGCAATTGCATAATCGGCCATGTAAGTCAAGTATCTATGCATGTACTTGGCTGGTTGAATACCAGTTTGCAAGCACCTATATAGAATTACATAGTCAAATTAGAAATGCAGTTGCACCCACTTCTTTGTTTATCACATCTTGAAAATCGGGCACATAAAGCAATTACTGTGAAAACAGTAATGCTGCATGTCCTTTGTGTGTTTAAAATTTCATTTATGGCATAACGTGGTTGTTGCTCTTAAAGTTTATAACTTTATTAGATGTGAATATGCTGATAGTTATAGAAATATTTTTGTTTTTTGTTGTCAAACCTGGATTCTCTTAACAAATGTGATCATCTGACTAGTCTCAAAATATATGGAGTTTCCTTATTCTAATTGCAAAACAGATTGAGCTTGTATTGACAAAACTAAAATCTTTTTTTCCTTTCAGTGGCCAGGGGAGTTTGCTTCAGCCTTTCATTTATTATAGATTTCTTACCTTGCGCTATTCCTCCCGTAGAAATCCATATTGCCGGTAAGCATTACATTAATAATATATTTAAATTTCTGCACAGTTGTATGCTAAAAATGTTACATGCTAGAAATATAACTTATATGGAATTGCAACCCTTAGTTCAGAATTAGAATTGTCCAAACTACACCATAAATCAGGGGTGGGCAATAATTTTTGCATGGGGGCTACTTCATAAAGTTCAGAAGTGTCTGCAGGCCAACATGGAAGGGGCAGGCCTCGGGCGGAAGAAGCGGGGCCATATGCTGTGAAAAGATGCCAATATATTTTATATACAACAAAGTAATTAAAATGTAATCATAAACAACTGCATACAACATTATCCAAAGATTATGATATAAGGCAACACTTGTAAAATTTGTAATAACTACAACACTAACACTAAACATAGGGCACTGAAAATTAATACTTAGTCCTGCCATGACTGTAGGGGGAGGCCCCTTCCAGACCTATGATACTATTTCATGGAATCAAAGTCCTTGTTTTCCCTCCCACCACACTAAGTATATTCAGTTAGATTTTGAGTTACAAAAGATTCCCCCACTTGACTATGAAAATGGCATCTAGATATTTTCATCAAAACCAGTTATAAAGAAATAGGTTGGTTATTGGGTATTCAAAGGGATCCTGTGTCTCTGGCAATGCGCTAGAGGCGTGGGGAGCTGCAAGCCCTTTCAGCTGTTTCTATTTAAAGGGCTTTTGTGTTCTCCAAGCTGCTAGGGTTGCTTGGCAGGGGCTGGGAAGGTGCTAGCCCTTTAAATAAAAGGAAAAAATATGTAACACTTTAAAACTAACAAGATGGTTTAATAGGTGATGAGCTATTAAACCATCTTGTTAGTCTTTAAAGTGCTACATAGTTTTTCCTTTTGTTTTTACAAGATCAGACTAACAGGCTACCTCTCTACTACTAGCCCTTTAAATAGAAACACTTAAAAGGGCTTGCAGCTCCCCCAGCCTCTAATGCAGTTGCTAGGGAGTCAAGAGACTCAAGCCCTTTCCACCGTTTCTATTTAAAGGGCTTGAGCCTTCCCTGCCACTGCTAGGCAACACCTCTAGTGAGTTGCTGGGGACTGATCCCTTTCAGTGGTTTCTATTTAAAGGGCTGGCCCCTTCCTTTTGCCTCTCAGGCAACGTGTTGTCTAGCAGCTATGGGGAACAGGAGAGCCCTTTAAACAGAAACAGCTGAGAGAGCTCACAGCTCCCTGCACCTCTAAGGAGCCAGAGAAGCTAGCCTTTTCAACTGTTTGGCTGTGTCTAGACTGGCCAGTTTTTCCGGAAAATCAGCCGCTTTTCCGGAAAAACTTGCCAGCTGTCTACACTGGCCGCTTGAATTTCTGCAAAAGCACTGACTTCCTACTGTAAGAAATCAGTGCTTTTTGCGGAAATACTATGCTGCTCCTGTTCGGGCAAAAGGGCCAGTATAGACAGCTAAGATTTGTTTTGCGCAAAAAAGCCCCGATCGCGAAAATGGCAATCGGGGCTTTTTTGCGCAAGAGCGCGTCTAGATTGGCCACGGACGCTTTTCCGCAAAAAGTGCTTTTGCGGAAAAGCGTCCGTGCCAATCTAGACACTCTTTTCCGCAAATGCTTTTAACGGAAAACTTTTCCGTTAAAAGCATTTCCGGAAAATCATGCCAGTCTAGACATGATCTTTAAACAGAAAGGCTTTGCACCTTCCCACTCCCCAGCTACTCAAGGCTGAGGAAGACATGAACCGTTTAAATAGCAGCAGTTAGAAGGGCTCCCAGCCCCTCCTGCTCCGAGGCAAGGAACTGGGGGGCGGGGCCTGAAACTGCTTCGTGGGCTGGATCAAAGCCCTAGGTGGGCCGAATCCGGCCCACTGAGAGGCTTTTGCCCAGCCTGCCATAAATGGAAGGGTTGCTTTTCTCCTCCACTAAATTATGGCTGTACAAGTAATATTGTGAACATTTTTCATTGTATTTTAGATAATTGTTTTGTGACATGATGTACCTCACTTCTATGAAAGTTTTTGTATCCCTAAACTTGTTTGAAAACCAAAGCCTCAGAAGTATAGTATACTATAAGAAATCAATAATTCAGTTTCACCATTGATGTCTTTCAGCAGAAATCCATGAAAACATTTCAATGCTTGACATCTCAAAAAAAATCTGTTAAAGCTGTATGATATTATATTTGATTCATTTACTTAATTATATGTGCCCCCTAGAAAAAAAAAATGATTTTCTTTGGTGCTGAAAGGATATTTTGAATTGTTTCTATTGTAAGTTTTGCTCTGCAGTTTTTCTTCCTGAGGGAGGGTAAGGGGTTCTAAAACATTGGCTTTTGTTTCTCCTCCATTTTTGGTGTCTTTGCTCGGTTGCTTGCACCTTCTACCACCACTTTTCTTCCCTTGCAAAAACCCATCATCTTCCTTTCACATTCCTCCCTTTTCATCTTAGTTTGCCTTTTATGTTTGAAGTAGCTTAGAAAAGTGATTAAAAACCTGAAGATTTTAAAGGACAAGAATTCTCACATTCAGGCTGAACATTAACCTCTTACATAAAATGATTAAACTGAGTTGTCCAACATGAGATTAAGTAATTCAATTGAAGAATTTAAGATTTAATAACTGCTGATCAACACAGCTGTGATGTAAATATATTTCTTAAAAAAATCTTCTTCTTCTCAGGACGCTTTTCACAGAGCTGAGGATCGTTGTTGAACACCTAATAATGAAACCTTCATGTCCTCTTTTTGTAAGAAGACTGTGCCTCAGTAGCATTTCCTTTATAAGCAGACTAGCACCAACAGTTGCATAATTAACATTCAGAAATGTTTATGTATATATTGTGAACATTATGAGCAGCTGGCATTTCTGCTAATGGTTATAAATTCCAGTTTTTACACTGATCTCACTCTAGTTTGTATAAAATTGTGTATATGCTTCCCTCCAAGATATTCAGTGCATCGTCTCACATGTAAGTCCTACGTTTTCAAGAAAATATTGCTATGCCCTATTGCTAATTGGTGAAAGTATCCATTTGTGTCTTAGCCAAAACTATTTTAAAGAAAAAATACCCAGGTGTATAGAATGTTAAATGAAAAACCAAATGGCAAACACAATTGTACCTGTTTTTCCCATAATATAGTCCTCCTGAAAGCAGATATATATTTAAGAATTTTAGTCAATCCTAGCTGTAGCCATAGCTACTCTAAAATGTTACCACAGCTTAATTTTCAAACTGTGATTGATAGCAATTGGCATATAGACACATGCAGTACGTTTTGGACAGTATTCTTTTCCACACTTTAAATATACCCAGTACACTTAATTTGTTTAAATTTATGTAGTCAACTCATGTATGCAAACATGGCCCATTTAGAAGGTAATGAAATGGATTAAAAATCTCATAAACTGTGATGGCAGTTTTTTGGGATAGAGTCTGTTTTTAATGTAATTTAAAAGTGAATATGCCAGCAGATCACTAAATGCCCTCATACTTTCACATCCTGTATTTGGGAGAATTCTGAAAGACCCGACCATGTCAAACTCTCTAAACAGTGAGATTATCTTTCTATATGATGAATGTAACTTTGCCACTGTCGGGAAATCATTGACAAATAGGCTTCTAGATACAATGAAGTATTTAAACTTCTACCCATCTCAAGTGAATTAATCATTGTGTATTGTAATAGTGCAAAATATTATCATTGCAAATACAAGTGGTCTTGTATCTAAGTGCGAGACTGCAGCAGTACAGGCATCTCTTTTTTTTTTTTTTTTTTTTTTTTTTTAAAGAAAAAACAGGTTAATCTGTAGCTAGTCCTATATACATTCTTTTACCAATTTCTAAGAACCACGTTGAGATGGAGAGTTTAGATAAAGGATTGCATCTGGTCAGATATCTATTGAAACAATTACTATAGAGAAAATTTGACATAAGTTAATCTGTTCCTATAATAACGCTACTAAATATCTTCGCATCAGAAATGCATGTGTAATTAAGTGATTTTTTTCATATTCACCCACCATACCTCATTATTGAAAGGGCATTCATTTTTCCAGGAATTCCATTTGTCTGAATTTAGTCTGTTTCCTTAGTTTAGGGAAGATGTTTGATTGATACTTTAGTTGCATAGAAGTTAAATTTTATTAATTGAGCTTCTCCTTTGTAATTCAGTGTTCTTTATTGTTGCATGATCAGACCTTATTCTAAATATTTGGAAAACTCTTGCTCCTTCAGTCAAAATATTTCCTTATTTATCTGGTTTGTTGTGTATGTTGCAGATGTAATTTGGACTTGTCAATCATTAGTTTCTGTCAGGAGCCGTGCATTGTACATTTTGCTCAACCTCCAGGTACTGACAAAAATGTCAATAATTTTACTTGAATGCTCTAATGTTGGCTTTTTGAGCACAAATAGCTATTGTTACTCACTGTGCAGAAGCAACTGCATGCTATACTCTGATACAGCTGCTGAGACTTGCAACCAGCCTCAATATCGGAGAATCCAGTGATCTGAATGTTTTTATAAAAAACTAATATTTCTACAGCAATAAAATGAATCTTAAAAATCAGTTTGCTAGTTAGATGGCTTTCTAGTTTATTTCTTCTGTATAAAATAAGTGGAATATTTTGAGACGAGTCCTGAAGTTGAGCAGAGTGCAATTTTTTTTGTGCGTGCATGCTTTTCTCTACTTATTTCCCTTGCCACACTTGAATCTACTTAAATGCTACAAAGATCAGAATCCTGACACCACCTTTTTATACTAAGAAAGCAAGATTTTAAAAGTTAGCACTGGGGTTCACAATCCTGGAGGGCAGCTTTCAAGAGAAATGTTAGTTTTTCTTTTAAATTTAAATTGCAGCGGTTAAGCTTTATGCATCTTTTGTACTCAAGGACTTCTAGCCAGAGGAATAGAAACATAAATCAATTTTTTAGCCTAACTGTCTTTTTACAGCAGCATGCAGTGTTTAGAACATTGGTGAATGTCGTTATTGAAAAATGTATATCATTCTTAAATGCCACATTAAGACATTATTTGGACATTATTTGTCTCTCACTTATACCCCTGCAACACCACTGACTTAAGAGGAGTTACTCTTGATGCATACTTGAGTAAGTGAAAGATGAACAAAGTCCTTTGCAGTGGTATTGTATCCTGGGACCAGTACAGCTACAGGAAATGTACGGAAGATGAGGTAATATCTTTCCTAGGACCATCTTCTATTGGTGGAAGGTATAAGCTTTCTAGCTACATGCTTCTTTTTTGAATCCTTGGTATTTGCAAAAGTTCATTTAAATCTACATCTCCCACTGCTTTCTGCAGTCAGATTCCGAAAAAGTTAGAGAAACATGTGCTAGTGACATTTTGTGTGCCTAAATTGCCAGTTACTTCATTTTTACATGGGTGTGACACACTTGATTTCAGTGGAGTTCTGCTGGAGTAAAAGTGAAATAAAACAGTGGTGAATTGGGCCTATTTCTTATAACACATTAACATACTCTGAACATGCGAGAGGGCAGCTGGGTGAATAAGTAAGTCTGCTGTGAACAGAGAATTTGAAGAAGGTGAAATGGCTAGAAAGAGCAGAGTTAGCAGGTCTGAGGAAGGTATGATTCTTCCCTTTCAAAGATTTGTTAACTAGATTGGATTGATTCTAATTAAAAATAATTTTGAGTAAAATGAGTATTAGAAATTTATTAAGCAGCTTTCCATGCTTGGGATCATGCTTTGTAGATGTCCTTATTACTCACAGTATTACCCAGATTTAGACATATAGCACAAAGATATAACTGACCAAGACTGCGGGCATATAGGTCTGCCTTTCATTTGAACAACCTAGCTAACATAACACTCACAGGACAGTCAAGTAGTGGGAATAGTTTTCGCCCTCATTTTGCTTGCAAACTACAAGCCAACGCTTTGCAGCAAGTGTTCTTAATCTGTCATCAATCCTCATAATACCTATTATTTGATACTCAGTGTTTTCCCACCATTGAGAAAATACGGCTGGAAATTTTGGTTGAAAGTAAAAAAATTCTTCTTTCTCCCGTCACTGCCTGTTTCCTACCATTATCTGTGTTTGTGAAGTCTTTTTCTAAATTATAACTAAAGCACCTCAAGTGTCAGGGATATTATAGGTGTTCAGCAAGCAAACTATCATACATGACTGTGTGAAACCAGAATGGAGTTTTGCAACTAACATGTGGAATTCAGGTTCCTGACTTCTCAAGGTCTGGTCTGGAGAAGTAACCATTAGCAGTAGAGTGACTGTACTTTTTCCTGATTTCACTAACATGCATGTCTCTGAATAAAACTGGCCACTTTTCTTGTTACCTTAGAAGCAAACACAGATCTCTCCAGACCCTCTGATCGTGGTGAGTTTTAAAGGTTGTGGGGGAAGGAAGGTTGGGAATGAGTCCTTAAGAAAGTACACTTGGCACTTGCGTAGGTGTATATAGAAACAGTTTGTAAAAAATAGTACACTTCTCCACAGGCTGCAATTACTTTGGTTCACATATCCCTCCTGAAGGTTAACAGTAAACCCGGACTCTGCTTCCAGGTGTTAGCAGGGCACACCCTGCTTCTTATGCAGCCAAACTCTGTGCCACCTTCATTCAGGCAGCACAATATGAAGAATGGTTTGGAAGAGGGTTGGTACCACAGCAATGGGGAAGTGGGAGCCCTGTCATGGAATCTCCATGAGAAAATTAATAAGTATATCAGGCAAAGCTTCATCACCTCCCAGCAAGGCAAGGGTCTATTGATATCTCTATGTATATGAATGCTTCATTTGGAAATAATGTAAGACCCAGGCAGCTCACAGAAATACAGCCTCCTATCACTCCATGCTATTCCCCCCTCCCCTTTCTGGTTGCCACACTGCTTCTCTCCCCCACCCCTCTCTTCCAGCAACTTACTCTGCGTCTCTTTTCTTGCTTCATGCTCCACGTCAAGTTGCTGAGACCTTCTAAACCAGTGGTCCCCAATGCGGTGCCCGCGGGCGCCATGGCGCCCACTGGGGCATTCATGTGCGCCCGCTGACAACCTGGGCCGGCGCTGGGAGGTGCCAGCCCCAGGCGCGCAACACGCACC